AAACGAAGTAAATTCCCTTAGGGTTCTGCCCCAGAAGCCTTTAAAGTTTCCTTCCCAGATTTGTTTACATTTTGGCCATGTGGATAGTACTTTTTCAATGAATTTTTAAATAGTATTTTAAACAACACACATTTATTTGGAGTTACTGAATCCTCCAAAAGAAGTATTTGCAATGTTATTTTCTGATTTTAAATCCTTTTATCACAGTAACTCTTACAATTATTTCTTATTGAACTATCTTATATCTATTTTACGGGTTGGTGTCTGCATTTTTCACCACTTTTGCCTATATTTTATCTTATTATTCTAGACAGGTTCATGAGATTATTGTCATACATGTTATCAATCATTGGATGAATCAATCGATTGTGTAATGCAATACAAAATAATACTATTGCTGAGTTGCAGAAGGGCAAGATGCCCATTTGAGCCGTGTACATATTTTGTTAAATTAATAGTAGTCTAGTTTACAGCAACTGGATAAACCATTTTACAATATTTATGTAGAAATATATGAATGATTTAGAAAGTCATTAAGCTGAAAATTTTCATCTTAAACTAAACTGCAATATACTGCAGACTTTTCAGAGAAGTTACTTCGATGTATTCATTCAGCTTAGTGAAAGCATAATATAGATGTGTATACAAATAAGAACTTGAACTCTTAGAGAGCCTTTGAATGTGATTAGACTAACGAAAAGTGTTCTGCATGTTTACTAGCCCTACTCAGCAACAAAACCCATTTAATTTATCTCTAAAAATCTTCTATATATTAATAGGCAAGCATGTTTCTTAAAAACCTTTTTTCTCAGCTCGTGTGCATCGTAGGGAAAATCTATGCATACTGTTAGGAAGCTATTTTCCTGTAGGTGTGCAGAATCCCTTTATAAATTAAAATAGGCTCAAAAATAAGCACAAAAAATGAATTTAAAATTTTGAAAGATTTAACATGGATATTATGAGTTGCCATGCTGGTGACGAAATAACAACGAAATATAAACAGAAAATCAAAACAAATGGAAGAAACTCCAATCACATGTTCTATTCAAAGTGTGGAAAGAAAATAAAGAAGTCTGTACATTAAATATTTTTGGTCGAGTTTCGACCACTGGACGACCTCTAGTATATTATTAAAGTGCACTGAGCAGCAGCTTAAAAAAATGCTCAAACTCGCATTGTGACATTTATAATTCGGCTTATATTTCTCCAACAGATAATTCATGTGCAGAAGAATTTTATTTTGCTCTTACCGTGTCTAACAGCATCCAAACACAGACACCTAGCCTAAAATGGTACCTACATATCTTGACAAATTATTTGCGGTGACCTATATTACGGACCGTGGCCCACTGGGTTAGTAACATTATTGAAAATAACACGACATTTTGGCTGTAAAAAATGGCTCAATGAGTAAATACTATATAAGCAGCTACTGTCATTACAGAAAGGCCATATTCCTTTTAAACTAGATCAGATCATCCTTTATAGGATACGGTGTTTAACAATGCATGTAAACGTCAATATTTATGTAACAGCCAATTTACAATATTTTTTTTGCTTTTCGGAAATGCCACATTGCTATGTCATTTGCATTATTTGTTGCCAATGAAGCTGCACGACCATATAAACGAGGAGGCCTGTGGATTCCTTTAAGAAGAAAACGGTAAATTTAATCTGTCGTTAATTTATGGTCATTGTTATTGTTATTATATTGTTACGTAGGTACTGTTATCATATTGTTGTTATTGTCATAATTTGTATATTTGTCGTCTTGTTATTGTTACTATTTGTTGAAGTCTATTATTGTTATCTTTTTTGTAAAAGTTTTAAGTTATTGTTATTCTTTTTTCAAAGTCTTTATTCTTCATTTGTTATTGCTTCTTAAAAATGAAATGTTACGACTTTGCCTTTTTTGAACTAATTTGAAAATTTGATTGTTTGTTGGATGTAGTTGTTTTTCAATTCATTCTGTGTATAAATCAAACTGTGAAACTGGACATTGTTTTCAACGCTATCATATCTGTAATACTTTTGTATTGGTGTATCGCCGTTTGTAATAAATAAATAAAAAAAGGCCCCTAACAGTTCAAGAATAACAGCCAACTTCACTTCAAGTATATTCCACTACACCTAACATTCCGCAGAGAGATTATATTGACTACTTTATGTAGTTGATAAGGCTCGTACAACTCCAACTAACTGACATCCCCCATGTCAAGGAATTCCAGCTTTAACAGTAACCCCACAACCAATTTTTCAAATCTGTGCTAGAGGGTTATTTACTCCTGCTGCCTGGGTGCTGTATTCATTAAATACACTTTTTTTTAAACTATTCAACTATACAAATCAACTAAATAATTAGCGAATTTGATTGATAAAATAAAATCAAAACGAAATCATCTGTTTCAGTTATAAACTTCACACAACTGTATTTTAAAGAAGTAGGATTGCCGATATACAAATTATTTATTTTCATTTTAGGGTTCATTCTGGGGGGGGGACTATCTCCCTAATCCCCCCAATAGTTACGCCATGGATTAAAATTTCGGGCTCTTTTCATGTGCTCCGGTTACGCTACTGGTTTGGCGTATGCTTATGCCCTATGGTATGTTTAATGCTTTAACGATAAGATGCCATTTGACAATGTCAATTGCTTTTGTAGAGCTGAAAGACAATAAAGAGATTTGATTTCAAGTTTTGATGTAGATACTGGGTAATATCACGAATTGTGGATATTTATAGGCATGCACTGTGGATGCGATACTCCCTGGTGTGGATTAACGTCCGCACGGGTGAGTACTACGACTATTCGCAGTACTATCCTGATAATTAGACCAATTCGTATATACCAAGGAAAAAAAGTGGTTCGGATTCCACTACAAACTGTAGGTCCCTTAGTCGCCATTAGCTGTATGGGCTATTAATTAACAGCAGTGTCTAAGGAATATGTCGGTCTTAGTCACTAATAAGACTACAAGATCGCGCCACTCATCATACACTCATCTCCATTCATACTTGGCTTAAAATACCTACTTTGTATGGTCGCCATTTCAAAACAAAAGTAAAAAAAAGTTAGAGTGAAAATATCTTATTTCCGATAAAAGATTATCGACAATGAACCAATTTAAAAACCTAATAAATAGCTTATTCTCTATATTGGAAATTCGCTTGAACAAATAAAAAACAAATTGTTCGAGTTGCCAACTCAACATAAATAATAACCAATAATAACAAGATAACAATCAATGTAAAATACAACAAAAATCAAGTAGGCTAATTATTCTACGCTAAGAAACCAGATGCAACAGGAAATCATAAATTGATAATAGATTTGCATGTCTAAAACAAATTAAGTAATTGAATTGCGAAAAAAGAAAATAGTCCCAATTTCGACACTAGTTTAGTCGGCAATCACTTATCTCCTAAGCAACATGATTATTGCGCAATTTCTAAAAATAACTATTACGTAATTTTCCCCTATATCCCCACCACTAACTCCGAAGCGGAAGCGAACTTGGAGGAGGTCTGTTGTCGACTGAAAAATACAGCGCTGTGATTGGTCCGCTCGCAACGTCTGTAAAACGCATATAAGGCAGCGCGCAACTCGGCTCCGTTCAGTCGGTTTAGTGTCTTGTGCTTCAATAGGACCACTTGGTAGCATCGCTTCAAAATCGTTGGTGAGTACTAAAATTATCATAACATAACCTCACTCAGTCACTCGCGGGAGTTTGACCTTCACTTTTAGCCGCTCGGTCTCAGTTCAACTCAATACGTTTCGAATCGTTTGTGTTTGTGCTAGGCACTCCAAACATAACCTCACTTTTAGCTTCGGGTTCGTTCGGCAACCATCGCGAGCGTTTCAGGGCAGGAATTGGACTAGCCTACTGCGCATGCGCCAGAAAGAACCAATTCAGTTGTATTTGGTCTTCAACGAGTCGACTCAGGAGTCATAACTTACTAGTTCAGTTCAGTTTCAGTTCTGCTGTTAGCTACCTCTGTGACGATTGACGACTTGAGTCAGTCATCTCTGTCACCCCCATCATCCGTTGCATTTTAAGTACCTATTCGGTACTTTAATACTGACTATGGGAATTGACTAAAAATTGAGTTTTCCCATTTTTTACCCTAAAAACATTGTTTTTTGTATTTTTCAAGTTATTTTGTAATACTTGACAAAATTAATAATTTAAACTTAATATGTTCAGAATATACCATGAATATTCCAGAATATTCTGAGAATGTTCTCCAGATTTCTAGGCTATATAAAAATTTTCTTAGAATATTTTTTATGAATGATCTGAGTATATTCAAGGAAATTGCCTGGGATGTTGAGAATGATCTCAAACATTTTAGAAAAATTCCAGGAAATCCTATTATTTTTCATGTTGTATTTAAATGTTATACACGGTATATACAAGTGAGTTAACAAATTTTTAGATTTTCTCGAATTTGATGTTGGCAGATATTGATTGCAGTCCATGCCCTGGAATTTGAGTGGAGCAGAATCATTTCAACTATAAAATAAATTGAAACACCATCCAGAGAAAATATAGGAAATAAGGTCAACGATATTTGGTATCAAATTAAACTTACCAAATTCAAAATAAGAGTTTTTGGAATTTTGTACATACTTCAACCTCCTTTGTTTGAATAATCTTTATGTTAGTCTGGAATTTTCAGATTTTATTTAGTCCCTTTATACATTTAAACAGACCAATGCATCTGCAACTACGCATGCAACTTAACGATTGCAATACAAAAACACCAATAAATAATAACAATGGTATATAAAAAGCTGTTGTGTTTACTATTTTATATTTTTGAAAGTGCATATTATGCAAATATTGACTACATCAGAACTTATGTTTAGAAACAAAGTAAAAAATAATTAAAAGAAGTATAAAAAAAATTATTACAGCTGGAAATAGTGGCATTGTAAATGATCATTCAATTTTAATAGTTTATGTAGAACATTTATTTTAGAACATATAAAGTAAATCATAAACAGTGGTAATTTATCACAACAGTCCGTACTATCACACCTCACACTAATAACAAAACATTTTTAAGTCTTCAATCAGTTCACCAGCACCTCAATCAATGACTCTGTAACAAAAAAACTCTGTTTTAGGTTAATTTAATAAACATGGGCAACACATTCAATGTGAAGCCTACAGCGTAGTTCACACTAGTAAACATATTGTATGTGGTACTATGGGGTTATTGCATGAAGTTTCGGCTGTTATTTTTTTATTCGTGTCACTATAACATAGTAAAATGTACAGTACAATAGACTCCCTCTTATCCAGACTCTTGGGACCGAGGTCAGTCCGGATAATGGGTTTTCTCGTTAAACTGACGTCCCACAAACTCATTAAAACTGACCGTTTAAATGCATACTGTATATTGACTAAAATGTAGTAGAGCATAATCACTGTTCTCATATCCTTAACACAAGAACAGACGTTTCAGTAACGCTTACCTCCCACTTCCTGCCGACCTAGTCCGGTTAAACCGATGTGCTGATAAAAATTGCCCGGTTAAAGGCCTATTTTGCTTGGAGCGATTGCAGCGATAGTCGCGTGGCGATAATCGCTCCGCGATAGTAGCCGGGCACTGCTCTGACGGAGTTTGTGTTGTCCTGTTTTGCTTGGAGCGACTATCGCAAGAGTCGCTAGCTACAGTCGCGGACCACTGCCCTTGGGGACCAGTCTGAGCGATAATCGCGCCGCGACTGATGCGCAGAACCTCAAAACAGTGCAGTTCACTCAGTAGGCACATAATAGGGGTTAAATTAACCATAATTTACTTTTTTGTTCACATTAATTTTTCTATTCATGTGCTGTTACGATTCTACTGTTTTGGTTATATTTCATTACACATTAATTTCATTTTCTAAATTAAATTTTAGTAGAAACAGGCGACTTGTTTAAATTTGTTAAGGTAATTTACGTCTATTCAAATTTATTAAAATATAAAATGCTTGACTGTTCCAAGTTGTTATGTGTTATTTACGTAGTGTGGGCGTTAATGCGTTAATACTGTGTCAGTTTTTGTATGAATATTTTTTTTTTTTAATTTAGACTCCAGGTTTTATTTTCCGACATTCATGTACTCTTATTGATATCACTATTTTTTTATTTATATAAATATATTTTTTCATTGATATCACTACAGTTTTCTATTTATGTCCTATCTAGTGACCTCTAGTGATACGTATCCGTCCCTAATCCTACGTATCACTATGTATTTTCAATCGATCGTCCATTGATACTTCCGCTAGGGTCGAGTGGAGCCTCGTCTCCTAAATCCTCACCGAGGAGACGCTTTAATGACTTACAATTCGCACTCATGACTTCACCATTGTGAGTGCTGATATTTAACTAACCATGAAAAATCGCTGTGCGACCGAAAATCAATCGCTCTAAGCAAAACGGCCGCCTTGTCAGCTATAGTAGGTGAGCGATAATCGCTGTGCGACTATCGCTACAGTCGCTCCAAGCAAAATAGGCCTTAAGAGATGTAATTTCCACCGAGTGTTGTCTGGTTTAACCGATGTCAGGTTAAAAGGTGTCCGAATAAGAGGGAGTCTACTGTACCTTATCATGGTTATTAAACATAGTAATAATGTTCCCTAATATGCAGCAAGGAAAATCAATTTTACTTAGCCTAAATACAAAGCGAAGAAGACTGATTCTGAAAATGACATTGCACTGCAACAGCAATGTTATGGGGTAAAGTTCTGCAGAGAAACTTCAATGTATTATACTATTGTTATGCCTGACATGGCCGAGTATATAGTGTGATAACTAAGCATCAGGATTTATAGAAAAGAACGAGAATCTCTTACATGTTTTTAATTGTTCACAAAATAAAATATGACAAATACATTGCAATAGAAACTGAGTTACAAAATCTTAAGATTTAAATTTAAGCAAGTGAGTTCATCTCTAAAAGGATAGAAATTTAACAAGTCTCAAAATTAAACAAGAGAGAGAATGATTGGAGAGTTTGGAGAGAGAACTACTTACTAGATCGAAGTCTGATGTGAGAATGACATGTAAACCTCATCTAGGAGAGTCCGTCGATGGGATCCTCCACTACAATTATTTTATTAATAAAATATTCCTTATAAGGAGAATCCTTGAAAAGGATTGCTCTGATTGGTCATGGCTTTCTCAAACAGTGGGGAGGCCTCACAGGAAACTGGACTTCCTCTGTACTAGCGCGTGTCATGAGATAACTGAATCTAGGCTTTTAATAATTTTGTCAAAACAAAGAAAAACTCAAATATACTTATGGCAATTTTGAAATTAAAATCAATTTTGAATTATTAAAAATAATAATTTAGTTACTCAAATACAATTATAATTAAGGTACTATTGCTCATCATTACACTATCCTATCAAATTTTCAGTTTCTATAAATTAATAGGCCTACTGAAAATAGCTTCAAATTTATATAATATATATTGATTAAGAAATAGGCCTGCTTATTAATCTGTTAGCCTATGGGTCTTTTTAAAAAGAGGACCACCCGCCAATCTTTTACAGACCATTGCGGCGGCGTTTAGGTTATGTTAGCTTATAGGCCTACCACATAGAAAAAAACCACGCACCTGTATGAGTCGTGCATGCAGGACAGCAGGAGAGTCAGAGTGGTGGGGAAAGACACCTCGCCCCAACGACTTATCCCCACCACTGCTCCAGGCCCTTCCCCACCACACCCTTCACCCCTACATGCGCGAGACAGCCATAGTTCTGCGCAGGTTCTTTTGAAAGTGGTAGGCCTATAGTTTATAAACAAACAAGGTATCATTAACAAAACGTTTAGCTTTTTTCTATAAGCTAAGTTACTCATGAAAAGACACGACTAGGTATAATTTGGCGCAATCAGTTTTGATAGAAAACTGTACAACACTAACCCAACCCAATGATGATGCTATTGGAACAATTTGTATTTATTTAGGTGTTACCTGGTTTTTATTAACATAAACTAAACCAAACTGAACTAACCTTGTTTAACCACCACAGCACAGTGTGAAAGTCTATTTAAAAAGAATCTATGGCTTTAAATATTCATATCACGATACAGTACCTTTAATACTAAAAAAAAAAATCGGAATTTATATCGCAGGGAATAATATAAAGTACTATTTGTATAACGAACTGATATTTCACCCAATATATATTGAAGGTATTGAAGGTACTGATATTGCAGGTTCTCTAAAGGACTTTACTGCAGTTCTTAATAGCCTACATTGTTTATAGTAAAACATTCTAGCATAAAATGAAGACTGTAAATGTATTGTTATTTGTTTCATCAAAATTACCCCAACTAAAGAATAAATTGTAGGCCTAGTTATTTTGATCTTTATAATAATATGACCATAACAACCTGTATAATGATTTTTACATCACTAAGTAGAGGACAAATTGTTTATTCCTAAAAGTAGGTAACGGGACAACAGTTTTTGGCCGCTACAAATAACTAGCCTACAATTTAATCGTTTATAAAACTTAACGTATATTTTCCTGTCGTTGGAGTTTCAAATAGCATGTTTCTCATGGCCATGTTACTCTAAATAATTTCAAACAAACCGCTATTTAAATTAAACAAACGATGTTTTAATATTCTGACTATTACAACAGCGCGAGGAAATGCCTCTTTCAAAAGGTTACAGCATTCTTATTAAGTTAGAGACTATATGTGTGTATGAGTAGCAAGTATAATCATAGACAAAAAGAATTATATATAGACTACCAGCCGTGCTGTGGTTGCCATGGTTACCATAGGTTCCGGCGCACACCGCCGTAGTTTACGCAGCACGTACGCCGTAACTACCGTGGTGCTCCAAGCGGTGTGCGCCAGAATCTATGGTAACCGCAGCACAGCTGACGGTCTATATTTAATTCTTTTTGTCTATGGTATAATGTAAAGAATGGGTACTTTCCTGTCCGTTAAACAGCCATTCCCCATTCCTTTTCTGTTATTAAACGGAATTTTGAAACAGTAACATAGTCTATACAGCAAAAGTTAGTTATGTTATAACTTAGGTTAGATTAGCTTAGTTTGATTTTATAATCCAATAAACTAGGCTATTAAATGTTTGCCTAAACAAGGTTCGGCCTACTTCTAAATTAGTACCTAGATAATTTAAATGTGTTTGAAGATAACAGAAGGAATAAGTTATGAATCGTGAAGTAAAACAAAAATATTGATAAGCTTATATCGAAAAGAAATCATCGATAATAATGAATGTTCCCTTTAACAGGAAACTGCCAAAGAGTGAGAGACCCAATATAATATAGTAACCTAATAGGGTTCTATAGTGTAGGCCTCTCTATCGATAGCGGAACCTAGCCTTGCCCTACGCCAGGGTAATGCAAAGCCTAGCCAAGGCCTAAGTTATTTAAATTTTAGTTAGTTAGCCTACACATTTAATTGGCTTAAGGACCATATTTAGTCTACGGCATAGACTTTTTTCCAAACAGTTAATGGTTTACAGGCTATAGGTTTAAATGTGTCAACCTAAAGATTAGGCCTTTAAAATACAACTCACCCAAGGGTTTCTAATATGAAAGTTACACCGCTTGGTAACTTATTTTGTAAGTGCCTTTTACCACACAGCCTAGACAGTTCTTATATAATTATAAGATTCGTCCTTTTGCAATGTTTATGGGAAATGTCGGTAGTCCTAACTATGTCCTAACTGTGTGACCCCACAGGGGTACAACAGTTTCTTAACTGGGCTACCCTAATATCGATTGGAACTATCTTACTTGATACTTACTTACTTGATACTTGTGTGCTGCGCCGTTGACCGACAATGTCGGATAGACTGCGTTATTATATACATTTAAAAATAAACACTACTATTTACATACATATAAACAAAACAACTTAAACAGTCTGTGGCGGTAAATAAAATGTGTTCCCCATTTGTAATGAAGGCTTTTATGTGACTTTTAGGGGTTCTTTACTCAGCTCCTCCAGTGAGTACAGTGGCCTATCCACCAAGCTATTTCCGATGGCAGCTTTGAAGGAGGTGATTTCCATATCCCGCACCTTATCCGGCAAGGTATTAAAAAGCCGTATGGCATAGCGGGGATAGCTCTTGAGGGTGCGGGTGAGACGACAACGCGGCATGTCAAGGTGTAGTGCTTGCCGGGTGTCATAGCGGTGGTGAACTTCTCTTCGGTCAAACAGATGGACATTCTCTTTCAGGAGTACAGGAGTATTAGGATGTTCAATACATATTGACTGAAGACTGTAAGAATGCCCAGATCTTTAAAAAGGGGCCTACAATGTTCGTTGTAGTCGGCTGACATTATGATTCTTACAGCTTTTTTCTGGAGCAATAATATGTCCTGTGCTGCTGGTGAATGACCCCAAAGTACCAAGCCGTACATAAGATGGCTATGAAACAGAGCATGGTACACAGTTATCAAGAATTGCTTCGAGATGATGTTCCGAAGTTTCCTTAGGAGGCAAATAACCCTAGATAGCCGTGCGCATACCCTATCAATATGTGAGCTCCAGCTTAGTTTGGGATCCAACCAGAAACCTAGAAGTTTAACCGCCTCATCTCTTTCGGTTAGTGGCTTCAGTGTGCAGAGCAAGGACTGAGTCTTAGCTGCATTTAATTTCAGGCGGTTTGCTGTAAACCAGTTCTTGGCCAGCTCCAAAAGATGGTCAGCTTCAATATGCAGTTGCTCAATGTCGCTTCCTCTAGATATCAGAGTGGTGTCGTCAGCGAATAGGAGGGTGGAGCCATTCAGCCTCAAATCGTTCACCGCTACACTAAAAAGGAGAGGGCCGAGCACCGAGCCCAGCGGCACTCCATGTGAGATACTCCTAACGCAGGAGAAGGCCCCATTTATCACAACTACTTGCCTGCGATTTGCCAAATAACAGGACAGGGACTTCAGCACAGTTCCGCCCACACCATACTTTGCTAGTTTGCCTATCAGTAGCTTATGGGACACCACATCAAACGCCTTGCTCAGATCGCAAAGTCTGAGGAGGATTGACTCATTATGTTCAAAGGCGTCAGTAATTGTCTCAACAAGACTCAACAGTGCGGTGGTTGTAGATCTACCCCCTCTAAATCCATGCTGTGCACTCGAGAGAATGTTGTTTGTCTCAAGATAGGCCATGAGTTGTCTTTTCATGACCGTCTCCAGCACCTTAGAGAAGACTGGGAGTATAGAAATAGGACGAAAGTTTGATAACAGCGATGGGTCTCCCTTCTTAAATATAGGTATAGTTTTTGCTACCTTTAGGGAATCAGGAAAAACCCCACACTTAAGACAAAGATTTACCAGCCGAGTCAGAGGCTTAAGTATAAACTCAATTGTGCTCTTTAAGATGGAGCAAGAGACACCGTTTACATCTATCGAATACTAAGTTAATATTACTAATATCGAATTTAAATATTGATTAATAATCGATATTTTAAAATATAATGTCTATTATAAAATTAGGCCTAATCTATCATAACCTAACCTAACTAACCAAACTTGTTGATGGTGAAAAAATCGCAGTTTACTAATCGAATCGATAGTTTCAATCGATATTAGTGTAGCCAGTTAAGAAACTGTATCCTTGTTTTATTTGGACAACACTTGGAACAAATCACAACAAACACTTTTAAAGACTAGGCCTAGGCCTACAGTATAAAAACTAACTTTAACTTACAAGTAGGGTGCACGGGGATGGCACGGTAGAACGCATAACAATAAACAATACACCTAAATCCAACTTCAAAACATACGATACTTCGATAAAACCTCAAATTATTTAAAAAAAAAAAAAAAAACACAGCTTAAAGACTTTGAAAACAACAATCGCTGGAGCACAGCAGGGGCAGACAGATGACAGGACAGAACGACAGAACAACTCTTTTGCTTCAATTGTGTGAGTCGTTCATTTGAGATCAGCTCAATTTTACGGTTTGCGCATGCGCAGTAGGCTAGTCCAATTCCTGCCCTGAAACGCTCGCCAACCATCGGTACCAAAGTCAACGTTGGAACTTGGAACTCTTCGCGGGAGTTAGTTTGACGTTGACGCACTTGGCACTGGCGCTCAGTCGGATCGGAGTCGGCTCCCGCTCCGCTCGCGCGCTCGGCGCTCAGTCTCAACCATCAACACGCTTCCAATCGTTAGCGGCCTTGGCGCGTAATCGGCAGTCCGCAGTTCAACGACGTCTTGTAATTGATTCAATTCAAACTTGGTTCGTTGGTTGGAACTGTACTTAACGGTTTAGCACTGATAAATGTGTACTGTTGTTTTCCTCTTAAACTTTAAAGGTATGTAGAATCTTTGCTACCTAACTCTCTTATAAAATAACATTTCCTTTTTGTGTTTAGTTTAGTATCATAACTTGGAGCTATTGACATTTTTGAGTTTTTGAGACAAGTTTGAGTTTTTTTTGCATGGTTTGCACTGTATGATATGCTACTTATTTTATAATCTAAGTATTTTGACGATTGCAATGCATGTTATATGATGTTAAAAGCAATAAAGACATTTCATTTCATTTCATTTCATTTTTTATTTGTACTTGATTTTCTGAAACAAAATTAAGTAAGTTGAATTTTAGTTTGTTAAAAATTCATGTTTCCATTCCCTGGTTTGTTATGTTGAAGACAATATAGGCCTATAGGTTTTCTTTTTGCGTCTGTCAAACATTCGGATGATTAAAATTACTCAGTACCTAGCGATTATAACCTACACATGTTTCGTTGTGAAGGACCCATTTCAAAGCTTGCAACTCGTCAAAAACACAATTAAAACAATATCAATTATTGTCTTTTAGTATGTTCTTTATTGAACCTTAAAATTTAAGATGAGATAATTTCTGGGTTTGGGTTTTTGGGTTATTTATTTTAGATCGTAGTTATGCTACTGTATTATACCAACCAATAGTAAAATTGATACACTTACACACTGGACATAACACTGTAAAAATTAATATGATAAATTATTGAATGTAGGCCCAATGCCAAGAAATAGTATTTCCAGAAAGATATTAAATTAAAGGGTCTTTGCATCACTTTGTGTCTATTAACGGTATTTTGGTTCTGGTTACGACTTTGTTATAATGTCGTAGGTCCCAAAAACGTGTTGTTAAAGATGTTGCTTATGTGATACGGATCAGTGACTATTTTATGGTTATGTAGTAGTTTGTAGTTCTCTTGTGGTGTATCTTGTATTTTATTCCTCTCTTCATTTATTGTGTTCCATACCATTTTTACTTTGTTGTCAGCTTCTTGTATTCTTTGTATTGTTTGTAGTTTCTTTTTATTCCTCACATCCGTGTCGTATTCTTTCTTTAGTCTTGAGAAGTTTTCTTTATCCTCAGGAAGTCCAGTGTCCATATATTTGTGTTGGACCTTAAGCATGGTTTCTTTTAGTGCTAGTGTGTTTTCATCCCAGAATTTTCTTTTTCTATGGCCCGTTGTTTTTCTTTGTATCTTTGGCATTACTTCATCTATTTTGTAGGTTATGGTTTTTAGGAGTGAATTGTATTTGTTATCAATTTGTTGGGGTTCATAGATTGAGGTCCAGTCTGTGTGGCTCAGCTGCTCTTTAAGCTGCTCAAGGGTTGTCTTTGTGTAGCTTCTAGTGGATTTTGTTATAATACAAGCTAACTACAACAGTTTACGTTTTTCCTTATAAGAATAACATGAGAGTTTTAAATTTAAATTTTGTTAGAATTTTCTCCATAGCCATTCGGCGCAAAATAACGCTTCATACTAAATTATTTGTTCTTTTATTTAAGCTCTACCAATTGGTTAGGAAAAAAGTTGCAAAATTTGTGTTTTTAGGGTCAAAAATGGGAAAAACCAATTTTTACCCCATAAAACCCTGTTCCCATAGTCCGATTATGCTGGTTTGCAAACTCGTTCGAATAAACATAGGTCTACACGCTTGTACCAAATTTCATCAAAATCGGATAATTTTTGCTTGAGTTATCGCTTTAACGCATATATATAAATATAAATAAATAACTTATACATGAATTTGAATGGATGGTGTTTTTGGCCTCTAGGGACCTCAAAACGAAAAAGTATATTGATCCTGGGTCCAGGTCTTACCATGAGTACTACGGTAATAGCTTATTCCCTATATGGGAAATTCGCTAAAACGTCTCACTTATTGAGTTGACCTTCACTACAGTGTACCTACTTATAATGATAGATTACAGCCTCTTAAAATAAAATGACAAGTTCAAAAAATGATTAAGAAATTAGAGTTGAATGTTGAACTGAGACCCTTTTAGCGAATTTTCCATATAGGAACTGAATATAAACCTAAACCCAACAAACCTTCATTGTGTTTTTAAATTTCGAGCTTTCTCAGACCTCTCTCCCACTTTAGACGCACAGTGTTCTCACATAATCTAGTTCTATTAAAAGTAAACATAAACTATTATGTATAAAGATTGAAGACAGGTAATTTGTGTTTTTTTTTCAGAAGAATACAACAATGAATCCTAAGAAAAGTAAGATGGCCAGAAGAACTGTGAGTGGGGAAAAGAATCGGAGCACTGGTAAGTACACCTCAACACTTAATTATAAATAAGCTTGTTAAGGCAATATGAAAACATAAACTGCTGATTTATACAATGGCAACCATCAGTTATGGGATATGTTTAAGGTCTACTTAATCTCACAAACATTCTTTTATATTGCTAGCAGCAAGATGAATGCTGTGTTTGGCCATTTTGAAAAATTTCCATTCTTTTGGGTGGAGTAGTGCATAACTTTTGAGTTTTGGACCCGAACACACTTTTGGAAATACTATTAATATATCAACTAAACACACAATATATTTACTTTTTCCAGCATTAACAAATTCACTACAATACATTCAAGAATTCAAATATGAAAAAGTTACTAAGGACATAAGTAATTCCTTTCTAATGAAATAGCTTGGCTAAATTGAAAAAAAAAAAAAAAAAAAAAAACAATTGACAACCAAACACAAGATATGAACAGATTAGAAGCTAACTACTAACTATTATTTGTTCTGAAACAAACTGAAGTTTTAAGAAACAATCTCAGAATCATAGTATCGAGAAAAAAATGTAAGATCGGAAAATAAGAAGAAAATAAAACAACAAAAAACTTAGCAGGATTTGAACACAACATATGAGTTCAACAACACGAAAGAAAATTTAAAAATTCTAGATTTTGTGTGCAAAATATTGAATTGTACCTTAAAGAAAATTTATATCAATCAATCAATCATTTATACAATACACAATAAGCATCCTCAAAACTTACCCATCACAATCAACATTCAGAAATAAAATCCGATATTCCAAAAGATTCAATGAATTAGGAACATCTTTAAGTTAAATTAAGTCCTATATTTTTGGTAAGGAGAATGACTTTTATTTCCATTCAACTTTTTATTTATTTTTACTGTGTTTTTCTGTAAGCTAGTATTTTAAAAGTGTATTTTTTTGAAAGTCAGTATTTCAAAAGGTACAACTAACAGGTACTGATCAAGGTTTAACTACTTCTGGCGGATGGTTGACTCTTTTAATTTTTGTTTACCGTTTTATGGTTTGTTCAGCTATTAGTTTTGGAGTTTTGTATGGTAAAATAATGATATTACAGCTTAGTAATGGTGTATTAACAAGTTAACTGCCACATGGATACTTGGCCTTATCACCTTATTGCCAACTGTAAACCTTTTTATGTTGAGATGAAAACATTCTAAACATTAAAACTGTAAAATTCAAAGATATTGCACATAAAAGAATTATGAAAACCAATCTTTATGAAAAAAAACTATTTCTAGTATAAAAAATTATTGGGAAAACACCTTAAAATTATTAATGCCACTCGGCAGAAAACTCTGATGGTTGGAGACATTTGATTGCCTCAATGGAGGCATCTATTGATTAATCGTTAAACCTCCACTCTCCAGGTTATCTTGTGTTTTAATACATAATATAAATTTTAATTCAATTTCGAATTGGTAATATAGACTGGATCAAACCACCGTGGCAGTTAATATGTTAAAGTGAAGTATTCTGACCTGCTGTATAATCTTATAATAGTCAGAGCTGGCTTTAGGCATGTGCACTGGGCCCTGCAGTGATAAATACAAAAAATTGTTAAAAAGTCAGTGAATTTTACGTCAATTATGAAGAAAGAAGGGGGACTATAAATACTAATATTATACTTCGCAATTTTTGTTAGTATTTTAGGGATACTGCTTTTTTTGGTTTTGGATGTTTGCACTGTGCCCCGCACCTCCCAACGCCAGCTCTGCTGAGTATAACCTTGTTTAAAATGTTTTGTTTGTTTTCAGAATGCTGGCAAAAGTTAAAAGCGCTGCAGCGGTTTTATTTGCCTGAGCATGATGATTTATCACCTTTTTAAACTATTACAGAATTACACTGAATGACACTGAATGTGTTCAAATGAGGGGTTTATTAAGAGAAATGAATAGTTAAAAAAAGGAGAGACACAGCTATGCAGGAATAAGAACCAACTAAAAACCTTCATGATTTCTAAAAGATCATTAAAAAAGTAGAAAACCATACAGTTATATACTTGTTAAACGGTTTGGTATACTGCAACCTTGAATACTATAGGAGGGTATTTAAGCAAGCCTTTTAAAACTAAAGTACACTACCCGTAATAGCAATAAACTATGAGGAATGAAATATAACAAATCAGTGTCACTAGAATTACTTTGGACACATCAAACTTTTCAAAAGGCTTGATTTACAGTTACTTTTGATTGGACCTTAATCCCATGAATCTTCTTGAAACTTGATAATCATGATCAACTTTCACATAAAACCTAGTACGCATACTTTCAATCCAAACCCAGAAGAAAACATGTCTGCCACCCCTCAAAAATATAAAAAAAGAACAGGAGGGATTCAAGTGAACAGAATAACCAAACCTCTGCTGTCTTTGGACACTACACAAAATATTTGGGTTACTCTAAGCAGACGAGTAAGAATCAGTAAAATTCAACTTCAGAAAACCTTCCAAACCGCAAAGAGCAAAGAGACGAGATTTAATTTTGTCACCATGATGTTTGGACGAAATCAACATCAGCTTATAATACTACCATGTTGTAAAATAAATATACATTCTAAATGTGATTTTCTAAACCTTCCTTCATTTTTCGATATAATTTACAACCATTTTAAACATCATCTCTAATGAACGAATCCAGGTTAGTAGTTAGACGTTAGATTATAAATAGACCCTTTTGTATCAGGAAAGCTTTAAAATCAGAGAATATTTCTTACATTTCTCAATACATGTGATCTCTATGTGTTTTTACTGAAATCAATGTTATTAGATTTACCATCTACTATAATTTAGTGTAGTGGAGGTAGGTAAAAGTAATTATGTTTACTAAGAAGAGGTATACATAGATATACAGTATGTGTTTGTTCAATATTTCATAGTCATACAATATTGATACCCTTAACCTTTTTTACAGGTCCAAAGTTTGGCTGTAGGTACTGTGGCAAAGAGTTTATAGCCGAATTTCGTCGCAAACTCCATATCCAGTTTGTTTGTAGATATGGACCGAGCAAGATCCGCGGTCGTCGATTTGTTGGTGGGTAAATTCCTTTTGTATCATTGATAATAATTATACTGTAGCCTGTATGTAAAGCCTTATGCATCAGTCTATTAACAATGTTAACAGTAATTCCAAACAGGAAAATACTATTGAATACCAACCAGTGCCACCCCTTGCATTTGAGCCCGAACTAGTTTTTGTTTAACCATCCCTGAGTTGATCAAGATGATTTCAATGTTAAAGGGATGATAATTATTCTATAGGTCGGCCGGTTAGAAAACGACCTCCTCGTAGAATTGGTGCGAGAGAGAGAGATACCGAGCTGTGGGAGTGAGACAGACTATGGCTCTTTCCCCACTCCGCTGCCGCCAGTGCCGCCCCACCCCCACCCTTCCCGAACACCTTAAATTTTAAGAGCAATTAAATTATAAAGCTGATCAAAATGTAAACAATTACGTTAATCATAACTTGAGGAAAATAGATCCTGCAAAAAATTTTGTATGACCAAATTCGCATCAATATTCGAGCATCATGAAATGTTATTATATCATTGTGTAAGCAGTTCCATTTGGTAACTCAGGATTCCAATTCCCACAACACCGGGGCAGAGCCGTGTCGGTGTCGTGTCGTGCAGTGTGAAAACGGCCATTGGCGGAGAGGGGGAACATACCCTCCCTCGCCGTTACCTCCCCTACATGGGTTAAATTCGCGCAGGTCGTTTTCCAACCGACTGACCTATAGTTTCTTACTCGTACACAAATGCTGCAAATTTCTTATACAGTGGGGTTTTATAGTTGTATAAAGTGGCAGAATATTTCTTTTCTGGCGGGGAGCATGCAACTTGAGGTGGTTATAGTGTGCAATTTTTAAGGACCTCGGTTGTCCGTAATGACGTCATCAGATGGCGGCTGTAAGAGGATGCTGGGTCACAATGAATTGGTTACAATACCCAATTGCCTGAACCGATTTTAATGAAATTTGACATACAAGTACTTGAATACATTATCTCGGCTCAGGTTGTCAATGGTCATGTTTGATCAAGTCGTTTCAAATTGGGGTCTGTGCGGTTTTACGTTCAGGGACTTGTATACTATAACCACCTCAAGTTGCATGTTCTCCGCTAGAACTAAAATATTTTTCCGCTACCCATCCCCACTAATATTTTAATCCAAAAGAGTGGAACAGCGCTTAAAGTTTGAAGGACTACTATAGTGAACTATTGAGAAGAGACGGTAAAACACCTTCTTTGTCACCTTGTTGTTTATTGGTAAATGGTTTTTTTCACATATGGTCCTGTATGTGTATAGTAAGTGTATAGTCAATGATTAAGTAAAAAAAGCCATCTGGGTAAAAACCATTAAAATAAGGTTTAATAAAAGTTCTTGTACTTGTGCAATAGAAAAATAAAATCCTCATGTTGATTCTCTACACTAGTTATTTAGATTGGTTTTATGATTTACACAAGGGTGCGTTGTTAGGGCAAAGGCGAGTCGGCTAGTGAAAGATGATTATTTTAATGAATAATTGGAGATAGGTCAAGTTAGGAGCAGATTGAACCAATATCTCTCTGTATCTTGTGCTAATAAACTACAACTTTTTGTACATTTCGGTATAAATGCAATCTTTCGTAATTTCTGTTTTGTGAAAAGGAATACTGTTTTATAATAATTATAATTTACTTGTTTTATTGAGAGGGATTGTATCCTTGCACGATACTTTCTTGTTCACAGAAGTACAAATCTGTTGGGAGATAGTTGTGCTATTACCATTACAGGAAACATTTTTATTCTAATGTGACTGTTCTTTGTCCTTGTGGTCCTTCTAATGGGTAAAGTAAATTTAATCATTTTTTACTTTCAGGGTTTTTATTCTACCAAGATACATTTGGTAGTCCAAGCAAAATTTATATAGGAATGAACAGTAAGTAAGAGCATTTTGCAAGTCCTGATATCCTCAGGTTTAATTAAGACTGCCATTTAAAATACAAGTCTGTACTTATGGGCACTCTGTACTGTTCAGTGGAATTGAAACCGGTTTATGAGAGATAATTTAATTGCATTTTTCTAATGTAAAATGAATTTATTTCAGAGTATCCTCAGCCCTGCATCTTCTGTGGAAAAAGCGCATTAACTGAGAGAACTTTGAGGCGTCATATCATCAATGATTGCAACACAGATAAGAAGTATGCCTGTGACATGTGCAGCTTCAAATCGGCATGGTTACACAAAGTAAGGAGGCACATAGCCAAGAAACATATTAAGCCCAAAAATCCAAAACAAAATAAAAAAATGCTTGATATGGCTCTGGCTCAGACAGATGTACACCAACCATCAGCCATGAATGATGTTGGTGTATTTGATACAGAAGAGGAGCAACAAGCTGGAGTAGAAAAAGATCATTCAGTTGATCTAGAAATTGAAGATGGAACACTCTACGAAGAAGAATCTTTCTTTTTTAAAGATAGTCCAGAGCCTGAGCCTAAAAAGATCACTTCTGTTGATCTTATAGATTTAACAGAAGATGAAATGTTTGAATCACATGAGCTTGACAATCTGCCTCTTGAGATGGAGGAATTCCAATTCATGGATGTAACAGAAAACAATTTAGAGGAAGCTATTCCAAATAATAAAAGGGAAAAGGAAGCTGCAGTACCTGCAGTGGGATTCAGTAAGTAAACCTACTTTCTTTAAATAATATTTTGTGGACAAAATGTATATGGAAGGCCTAGAGGGGGTCATATTAACTAAGGTCTCGACACAAGCATCCAGCAAGTACAATGAAGGTATGAATTATTGATAGCTGGAATATAACGATTGCTAGATTTTTAATTCAAGGATGAGTGTTTGCCAGAGTTAGATTAAGGCCTCCTTTAATACATTGGCTCCACCACAGTCATGGCCTGCCAAAACAGCTGTTACTCAAATTAATAATGGTAATAATGCTTGTTATTACCATGGCAATAGTCTGCCACGTGAAACGTTGACACACACCAACATTGTGGCCTTGTAATAGAGGAGGCTATGGTTGTATCCTTGTGTAGTTTGTTACTGATGAAAAACCATCTGTTTCTTCGTCACATTTTACTGAAAGTTAAATGGTGAAAGAGAACTATGGGTCCAGTTTTGACCCATTTTCTCAGTTCAGGATCAAACTACAGTAGAACTCCATGCTAATAAGTTGGGACCATACCACATTCTGATGATAAAAAATTCAATTAACTGGATTTTTACTGATATTTATAGGGTTGTATAGAAAATATGTCAAGTCAAGCTGAGCTTTTACCATTACGGTCGCGTATGTGGAGATTTCGCAATAGAAAAATGTACGCTCTCGCCACAATTGCGGAGGCCGGTTGTGATTTTCCATAACCATGAGAGATGAAGGTATAATGACTACAAAACTGCGAAAGATATTCAATACTTTCATGCAATCTTGAAAAAGGATGAGGATGTTTCCATGACTGTGCGAGACGATGATCATGTAGGGTGACTGAGTAGGGGTTTTAGATTTGCCACGATCACAACTTCTGTCTTCTTTAAGAACAATTCTTGTTAATGTGGTTTCATAAGATTTTAAAATTCAGTAAGCGATTTGGATAATCGGTGATTTGATAATTACAGTTCTACTGTAGCAACTTCTATATTAGGACAACTCACCTAAATTGCCTCAATATTAATAATACTTTATCGTCTCCAGTATTTTAGTTGCTATTTATACATTACCATGTACATACTGGCAAGAATATTGTTTTCTGTGAAAGAGTCTTTGGATTATATATTTTAATGCTGTAGAAAAATCAAGGATTATCTTGTTCCAGACATGGACCAAGTTTTGGCTGGATTGGAGACATTGACTAAAGAAGAGTTGGACATCCTTGCAGCCAATAGCAAAACCCACAAGTAATGTTGATAAGTGAAGTTAAGTGAGCATCAGTAATTGTATCATGTCAGCAGAATTAAAAACATTAATACATTTAGAATAGATAAAATAATTGACTACAAAAACTGAATTAGACAATAGACTACCTTTGTTATTTAGGATTGTATATTTTTGGAGTCAGGGTTAAATATAGAGGGATACAAAATTAGATACACAGTGGAGTTATAGTTTGTATTAAATTGCCTTTCCGAATACCTTCAAGTACCGTATACTAAGAACAGCCCCAATACTTTTAGTTGTCGGCCTAATAAGTACCTAATAACTTTATACATTTTTTAAACCATTACAGTATGTCTACTTTTGCACCCCTCTACCAAGTTATTTAAAAATGTGAGTCATATACCTTCAAATGTTGCTTTTCTATCTCAATGTAATTGATGAAAACCTTAAACATCGGTACTTTTGTTAACGTAACTCGCAAAACAAATGTAATATTGAGAGCTGCCTACACTTAAGTAAAGACTTTATTTAGAGAAATTCACAAACATTTTTGTCGTGCCAATATTGTTAAACTACTTAAAAATGTGATCTTAACCCTGGCTGGCTTACTTTGGAAATAAAATTAAGCCTAATTGCACCACATAAGGTTTGAACTCTAAGCTTAAACCATGAAATGTTGTAATTTTAGGAGTGTTATATAAGTTTATCTTACTTTTGCAAACCGGTTGGTTGTTTATTTTTCAATTAATATCATAGGAAATATTTTTTTGTTATAGTAATTGTAAATTCTTAGCTGGAAAATTATTGCAATGGCTTATGTTTATTTGCCTTTTCATTCTAATGTGTATGTGTTATGAACTTGTGGCACAAACTTTAAATGTGAAATATTCTCAATGCAATTCCCAGGTTCTGTGTTGTCTTAGAATAAAGTATTGTAAAATATTTAAAATAGAAGTAGAGAGAAAATACCCCCGCCGCAGCAAACCTGCAGACTAAGCGAATTTCCATTTGACTGATTGGATTTACTGAAA